TAAGTAAAATGGGATACAGGAGTGCAGAGCAGTATAGTCCTTTAAGAGAGCTTTTTTTGTTTTGTTTTGTTTTTAACCTTGCCCTCACCTGCCCTTCTTTTTGCTTTTTCTTCCCTTAAGAGTTTTTTTCAAACAGCTCTTGGATAGTAAAATCATAGAGATAAGGAAAATGTTTATTAAAAACGAGTTTTCTGAGCACTATGCTTACATTAAAGAATTTTCGAATCTTACAATTCTCAAACCTAATGTGGAATTATCCCTAAAGTATCTGTAATAATAGCAAATGTTTTATGATTTCCTACCATATCATCTATTAATAATCAATCAACTCTAGTAATAATAAAACTTTGTTTTTATTATTCAAGTTTTGAAAAGGTTTCCTGTCAAAGAGAAATTGTAAGTCTTGGCTACTCTGTTAAAATCAAAGATTTTTAGAGAAATAATCTTTTTGATAACTCTCTCTCTCTCTATATATATATATACACACACACACACACACACATATTTCTGATAACTATATATTATAATCACCAAACGTGACATTTATTATTAAAATAAAGATCAAATATTAGCACTTTGAGAAATGGTAAATATGCAGATTTATTTTTTCTAATTTTCCAAGACTTTTTTTTCATTTTATTCTATTCACTTAAATCCTACATTCAGCATCTCATCTTGTCTTCTTATGTTTATCTGTCACTTCCAAATTATGAATTGGATAGTTTTTCAGGTCACCTGTGACAACCACTCAAACCCACTTCTCTTGTCTTTAAGCTTCTGTTCCCTATGATATCATCTATTTGCCTCTGCTAATAGTGCTTTACCTCTTCTATAGCTCTACTCTCTTTTACCTGTCACTTGAAGAGTTCTAGGCTAGGCTAATGTTCAAATTAAACCTAAAACGCCAGAACTATGAAACCAGCAAAGTGTATTCTGCCTGCCCAGGGGGAAAAAACAGTTTTTCTCTTATAAGTAGGAAACACCCTCAGTTTCAGTCTCTCTCAAATTTTTAGGAAACTGAGTCTATTTCTTCATATACAAACTAGAAAGACTGCCAGTCAGTTAGAATAATTCCTCATTTTACTCTTATACTAAATGGGCACCTGAGCTATAGAAAGCAAGCAACAGAAGTGGTCTTATTTGAGATTCTGCTTTGCCTATCTGCTACACACATTCAAAAGTACTGCATTGGGAATCAAGAAGACCTAGGTTGAACACCTAGGCAAACCAAATAATCTCTTTGAGCTTCTGTTTTTGTTGTTGTTGCTGTGTTTGTTTTAGGATTTTTTGTTGTTTTTCTAATTGGTTAAAAATAAAGGATAATGCCTGGCCAGATTACCTCAGATTACTTTAGGTATCAAATGAAATGATGTATGTGAGACATTCTGTAAACTATTAAGTTTTATCCCAGTTAAGCTATTTTATGCAAGAAATGACTTGTATAATTCTATATTTCCATTACACAAACAGAAGCAAAACACAGACTCCTGGATCTCACTGCCAATTTACTCCATCAGAATCTACAGAAGTGAGGTCTAGTCATCTGCATTTTTAATAAGGACATCAAAATTTGAGAAATATTATATGATACTATGCTCTCTTCATTTCTAGTGAACTCTTTTTACTTCAATGGGAGTTTGTCAAGTACCATTTAATTTTCTGATCATCTTAAAATCACTTGTTAGAAGATGACAAAAAACGTGTTAACACAAAACAATCATAATATTAAAAATTAAGTGGCTTAGAATCTTAACTGGAATTGTTTCATAAATATTTTTAACTTAAAGTTTGTTCTCTGTAACACACTAGGTTCAAAACATTTAGAGAATTAAGCATAATTAATCATAAAAAGTTACTCAATTTACTGAGGAATTATAATTTTCCACATTAGTTTTGCTCATGTCAAATTTTAACATGCTCAATAGCTGCTGAGTTAAGATACTGTATTGGTTCTTTACATCTCAATTATCCCAGTCAAATTCACAACCTTCTAACTATCCACCATATCTGATTTATCAATATGTGACTGATGTTACTTTAGTTAAGCTTTCATAAGTACAGTTAATTAGGTCCCAAAAGAACAATTTGGAAGATCCTACACGTATTGTCTCTATTATTGTAGCCCTGTTCTAAGGGTGAAAGGAGAAAAAGGTAGCTGCCTATTTAGGTGAAACAGTGTAGAAGGTATTGCTAAATCTGGTAGACAGGAAGAAACAAAGCTAAGATATAAGATAATCCAAAACAAAAAATCTGAATAAATATAATAAAGAATGAATAATTCTCTCTACAGTCAAAGAGGTAAATTATCACGCCTGTAATTCTAGCACTTTGGGAGGATGAGGCGGGTGGATTGCCTGAGCTCACGAGTTTGAGACCAGCCTGGGCAACACGGTGAAACCCCGTCTCTACTAAAATACAAAAAAATTAGCCGGATGTGGCGGCCTGTGCCTGTAGTCCTAGCTACTCGGGAGGCTGAGGCAGGAGAATCGCTTGAACCCAGGAAGCAGAAGTTGCAGTGAGCCGAGATCGCACTGCACTCCAGCCTGGGAGACAGAGCGAGACTCCAATTCCAAAAAAAAAAAAAAAAAAGGAAAATTATATTTTTAGAGATAACATTTGGATTCTTAAAAGTTAACCTTAATCATTACTATGATAAAATAAGCATATCCAGATTTCATCCTAACACATTTAATGGAAATGACCCAAATGTCCATCACTGGAACAGATAAATTACAATATATTCATATGGTGGAAAACTCCAGAATGGTGAAAATGAATAAGCAAGCCATACCTATGTACAATAACCTGGTTGAGGAACATTATGAGTTACAAAAATCACAGAAGAAGAAAAGCAGTCTCATTTCATTTATACAAAGTTCAAAAATAGGCAGCACTGAAGGATATGTTGGTTAGAGACGCAAATACTATAGTAAAACCATAAAACAGAAAATTTATACATAAATTCAAGACAGCAGCTGCCTCTAAAAAAATGAAGAAAATAAATGCAATTAGAAAGGAATACACAAGGGAATTTAAAGGGTATAATATCCTTTTGCTTAAATTGGGTGATAGCTCACAAGTTTATACTTGTTATATTGCTTTTATTTTGTACATACATTTTATAACTATTTTATAGGTATTCAATATTTAATATACAACTAAAATTTTATATATTCTTTCCTTTTAATATTTTCTCTATAATAAAAAGTTTTAACAGATTTGTTTGTTGCTTTTAACAACAGCAGTTATAACTGAATATACATGTACTTTAAATAAATCATGCTATTCCTGTGCCTAAGTTTTAAGAAAAATATAAACCTCGTTTTAAGAAATCAGATATCTAAGAAAAAACAAGAGGGAAATTTTTGGAGTCAAATTTAGTTCAGAACTCACAAAAACAAAAACCACTTCTTAATTTTCTAAGTGGTTAGCACAGGCTACTATTCATTTTTTACTTAAGGCGGACATTAACAACAAATACTCTAACAACAAATATCTTCAGATTTTAATTTTACTAAAAAACTGATCCTATCCTGAAGATCTTTTCCTTAAGAAATTCCATAAAACATTTTCAAAACACTTCTTAAAAAAGGCTTATTCTTATAGCTTACCTACATATAAGTCTAGTAACTCTATATGAAACTTGAAAATGCTTTCGCTTTGGTGGATTGTTGTGGTCTATATATGGATTTTTTTTTTTTTTTAAATAGTTGTGTTAAAAAATACTAAGTGTCCAGGGAAAACCTTTTTTTTAAATGTTTTTTATCTTTATACCAAAAGACGTTCTCCAACGGTGAAATACAATTGTTTATCTAGTATAGAAATTGATTAAATTGATGAAATCTGCTAAGTTTTATCCGTTTCTGTAAAGTAAGTATTCTCAAATATATAGGGACATCAAAAACAAAGCAATCTTTATACATTTTCACCTACTGAAGTGGTTTCCAGGTTGTACTTTCCTAAAACCTTGTATTTTAAAAGGTTTGTTTTTCCAGCATGGAAGGTTTGTAGTTAGGGTAACAGTCTGAAGCCTACCACCAATTACATTAACACTACAGAGTAAAACAGTAGTTTTTAGATCCATGTTTGGTTCAAAAGGAAATAAAGATAAAAACAAGCTTATCCAATGAGATGCTTATTTCCTCTATATACTGAAATACTAAAGATGGGAAAAAATTTCGTCCAACTTGTTAAATTCCTTAGTAAGAGAATATAATAATTTTTTTCCCCAAAGCAAAATCTCAGTTCTTCCTTGGAATTTCCAAGGGTTTTGAATTGAAATGAATCGACAATTCCCAAGATGCCCTTCCTTTCCATAAATCCACAGTGTCTAATAACTTCGGAACATTTTCATGTCACATATAAAACGCCAACTACTATCTAGTATTTCACTTAACCTCCCTGCACATTACAGACTTTGTAGTAATTTTCGTATCTTATATATCTATTGAGAAAAAAAAGTGCGAATATATATTTCACATAAACTTTACCTGTTAAGTCTAGCCTAAAACTTTAAGAATCATGAACCCTTTTAACGCCGTAAGTGAACTTCACAACTCAAATTTACCAGCCGCACTATCCCTTAGGCCCTTATTTTATACGATTATAATTTTTCGAAAAATACGTTAAAAGCCCTATACCTTTTTCCTTCATCCGTTAAGGCTTAAACTCTGAGACAATGGTCGGGGGCCAAGGATAGAGTGAAATCTGAGGAAAGAGGTGGGGCGGAAGGTTAAGAAGACTTTGGAGTAGGACAAAAGAAAGAACTAGAAGGTTGGTTGGGTGACGAAACCTTTAGGTGCCAGGTTAGACTGGGTGCAGGCGAAGGACCCAAGGTAGGAGCTGGGGCGCGTAACCTCTTGCCCTCGAGCCCCCCAACGCCCCCAAGCGACTGGAACCCGTCCTAACCGCCGCTCCCTGCGGCAGCCATTTTGGAGTTGCATCAGCCCCGCCCCTCGGAGGCACCCGGCCCCGCCCCCTCGGGCCAGGAGGAGAAACAGGAAATGGGATTGCAAACCTAGTAGTTGCGCGTGTCGGCTGTTCAGGACTAGCGCAGGACTCCGGGCGCCCTCCCAGCCTACTCGTGCCGCTGTCCGGGCACTAGCTTCCCGAGAAAAGTCGTGGGACCATGTCGAATATGGGGAGTATCCTTTCCTGTTTGTAAAGCTGCTCTTAGGCATAGGGAAAGGAGGGGAGGGCAGAGGTTGGGACCCTGGGAAGTGCCTGGTAGTGACCTTTTTGGTCTAGCTGGGGAGGGGTGAGAACGCTGACACCGATTGGTGGGCTCCAGCAGCTTGGTTTTAGTTTTTCTGTTTTTTTTTTTTTTTTTTTTTCCTTGGGACTCGCTGCCATCCTAGAATCAGGGGAGATGGGACTGCTTTAGGGAATGGTCAGGGGAGTCGCCGCACTGGTTTGAGATTTAGAGCGCGAGCCCTCCCACTCTGAGAGCTTCTGTCACCTGTCCTTTAGTGAATTCGTCCTCTTTGAAATTGTTGGGAAACTGTGCGAGAACAGAGGCAAGGCGACAGTTTGCCAGAGGTTTAGGGTGTAGGTGTAGGTTTTGATTGCAGTACGAGGGCAGATAGCTTTTGTTGAACTTCACTTCTTTTACTGGATGGAGGTGACCAGTAAGGAGGTAAAGTGCTTAACACCAAGCCTCCAAACTAAGATGATTGCTTGCTTAATAATAAGATTTAACACATGAGGAAACTCATATAGTTCCCTAAAGCTATAAAATTCATCAGTTGCACCTGTGTTCCCACTTAAGAAATGAGGTCGGAGTTTAGAACCAAGCTGTGTAAAGCCCTGAATTGAAGGATGAAATTGTTTTTCTCAACCGAAATGTTGCTGTAATTCCTCTTCTTCAAGGAGTTGGTATTGTGGAAAATAGAATAGCTTGGTATACTGCCAATGAATGAAACTTGGCAAAATAATAAAATGCAAGTAATAGTAGTTGTTTGATAGCTCATGTTAAAGCTCTTTTGGCTTCATTCGTTGGTAAGCCTAAAATATAGAAAGACATTTGGTGAAAGAATTATGTAAACCATACTGAGAATATTGTTAACATTATATCGTGTGCTGGACTGGCCGAGAATAAAATATGAACCCTTGAGGAGGGGCACTGATAGGGCATTTCATTAATATAGTAGATGACTAAAAGGCCTACTTATCACTACAGTTTAAAGGATAATAAAGGAAGTGTAGTTGTATCAGCATAATAAAGGGAAGAGCACTGGAATATGAGTCAAATCAATTTCTAATCCCAGTTTCTCTTAAGCCTGTGAGTTAGGACAAGTCATATAGCCTCTCCTGCAAAGCTTACTGATCTGTAATGCATAACTGACCTGCCAACCTTATAAAGCTGTTGTGAAGATGAAATGGAAGGGCTTATTAAATTGTAAAGTTTTGAACATGCTTTTAAGTATGAGGAAGTAAATTACAAATCATTATCCCTTTTCCCCAAACCTTTAGAAGTATTTGAGGTAATAGCTCTAAATGTGTTTTTGTTTCCTATTCCAATCAAGTTATTTTTGGTCTAAATCTATCTTACATAATTTCTGATAACAAGATAACTATTATACTGACCAATTTTCTTTAACTGAAAGGAATGCCTGACTGTAATCAAAGTTAATGGTACTGTTATCAATAATTTAATACCCAACAAAAGTGAACGATTAACTTCCCTTCAGTCTACCATAAAAAGAAAAGGAGGTTTAACTTGACTCATACCATCTGGCTGTGATTAAGTCTCTTGGTTCATTTATGTGGAATATGTTCAGTCCAGACCTTTTTCTTGGAGTATAGAACAGGAGAATGACATATGGACTCAGAGCTGTCTTCCATAAATAAGTCGAACTGAATCTTGAGTAACACTTATCACCTTTATAAATGCAAAAATGCCTTTGTTATAGTGTATAAGAAGACTGTGCTGACACAATTCGATTAACATGATCATTTTGACTTCTGTCTTTGGAGCAATATTTACACAAGGTGTTTAGGGACTAGGGTTAGATTAACTCTAGGGATGAAACAATAGTAAAAAAAGTAAGGGATACTTTTCTGGTCCAAGCGCTCTCTCTCTGACACACACGCCATCACTCTGTCTCGCTTGCTTTCTCTCTTTTTGCTTCTCTACAGTTTTACCTCTCTTCTGGGTAACTCATAACTCATTTTGTTGTTGTTGTACTTAGCTCAAGCGTACTTCATTTACAGGAGGTTTTCCATCTTCCTAATCTTCTAACCTACCATCCCCTCCAAAACTAGGAATTTGAGAGTATCAGTTCCCACCAGTTTCTATCCCGTCCTCTTTTCCCCATGTTTTACCATCCATAGCCTCCCCAAGCCTCCCATTGTAATCATATATTTACTTATTTATCTCTTTCATTAGACTGTGAGTTCTCGAAGGATGGCTTTTATATTTATAATCTTTGTATCCTCATTTCTGTGAATGGCGCTGGGCCCATAGTGGACACAAAATAAGGGACCTTCTATTAAGACTTAGTTATTAGCATATATTTGAATCCTACGCTATGGATATATAGAGGGTTATAAGATCCATCTTCAACTTTGAGCAGCTTTTGATCTAGTGAAGCCAGGACACACATGGGTGGGAATAAGTAACAATACAAGGAAGCACATATTAACTGAGATGAATGCTAGAACAGCAATTAAAAAAAATTATCCTTTAAATTCTGTGATAACATGTGCAGAACGTGCAGGTCTGTTACATAGGGTATACATGTGCTATGGTGGTTTGCTGCACTCATCAACCCGTCATCTGCATTAGGTATCTCTCCTAATGCTATCCCTTCTCTTGCCCCCCATGCCCCGACAGGCCCCGGTGTGTGATGTTCACCTCCCTGTGCGCATATGTTCTCATTGTAGAACAGCAGTTCTTGATCCCATTGTGGACTTGCTAAACTCTTTGAAATTGTGTGCAAAAGTTTGTATGATAGCATATGCATTTTCTTGAGAAGACTGTCTACAGCTGTCATCTTTCTCTAAGAGATTCTAACCTGAGAAAAGTTAAGAACCAACACAGTAGGTAATACGTACTGTAGATATTCTGAAAGTAGAGAGATGGATGTTCTAGATTGGTATTGTCTCCTTCTGTAGTCACCCAGACAGCTGAGACTGCGTTACAGGCAGATTGCCAGCTACCTTAAAGATATGTTATCCATTTTGAACCTTCTGAATCACTCTAAATCCTAAAGCAGAACTAATAAAAAAGCAGGCTTTGATAATGCTGACAAATGTATTATATTTTGACTAAGATATTAATATTTCAATTTTGCTTTTACAATATACTTGACAGTAGCCCTATAATTTATGGCCTAATATGTTTTATAATAAGTATTAAATATAACGATTGTTTATGGTTCATCATTTGACTCCATTTGAGGGCCAATTCTGAGCAATTCCCTATGAAAGTTAAAATGCAAAGAGGGAAATAAGAGTTGAGCTGGACTTGAATTCCTCGATGTTCTGGTATTCAGCATTTTTTTTCTCGGTTATTCATCTCTGGACTTCAGTTTTCACATCAGTAAAATGAAGGGGCTGACAAATTATCTGTAAAGTTCCTTTCAATTATGATAATCCTCCTGTGATTCTCTGATTCCAAACTCTACTTCCCCTAAATATACAAAGAATGCTTAAGATGCTGTGAGCTGAAAAGGAGGAAAGTTGGATGCAAAATGCCACTTGTTGTCAAATGCATGAATAAACAATCTATAGTATTGGTACTGCTGCCTTATTTTAGGACAGCTGCTAGTGAAACATTTTTATTTCCTTTCTCTTACCTACTTTTTATCTAACTTCTGCATACCCAGGAGATTGCATAATCCTGCTTTTGACACTTGGAATAAAATAGCTTCTGCCATGTTGTGTTTAGATAACTTATTTTCACTTGGTGTTTCTCCATCCATTTCAGAGAGGCAAGGGGCCATATTTCTACTATGAATTTCTATGGTAAACTGAGTATCACAATTTTTATTCAGGAAACTAATTGCATTCAATTCTAAAAGCAAGGCTTCCTTCTATATGTACAATAAATATGTTGAACCCTAATGATTCTTATTTAGATTTCAAAGCAATAATCTAAGACATAGCTGATTTCCATACTTTCTCTGTCAACAGTGTAACTACAAATAAAATAAATTATATTAATGTTTTAAAGAGATATTCAGACTTTTTATTATTACCCAATTAATGTAGGTGACTTAGCAAAGTCATGAGGAGGTAATTACAATAGCTCTCATTTGTTGAACAACTACTGTATGCCAAATTTTGTGTTGAGGATTTTGTATACATTATCTGTGATCCTCAAAGCAGCACTGGGAGACAAATGATATTATCTCCATTTTATGGAAGAGGAAATTAAAGCTATGAAAGCCACAGCGCTTGTAAGTATAGAGTAAAGGACCTAGGCTGGGCTCTGAAGTCTCTTCATTTTCTGCAGTGCCTCTAGAACATACAGCACAATTAAGTTAAGTTTGATGGAGTCCTATGGGTTATGCAGAGCTACTTTTTCTATGTATTGATATTCTACTTGGGATTTTGCTTTAAAAGGAATTTGAAAAAGATGAATCTACACAATCACTTTATGGGAAAAGCTAGCCTAGATTCTCTTGAAGACAAGTCTGTTTCATAGATATTCCCATTTAAAAGGTAATATGTAAAATTTTGATTTTCTAAAATTGGAAGGAAGGGAATTAATACTTTTTGAAAATTTGAAATTTAAATGTTCAGCTATTTATTGATTTCCTTATTTATCAATCTCAAGGTCCAAGTGAGGTAGTTTTTTGCTTTTGCATGGATTTGGGGACAAGGAAAGAAACCTGATGCCATTAGTGGAGACCTTTGAAATCAGTTTCTCAGAGTCAGGGTTATTGTTTATATTAACTGATATTAACTGAAATGCAAGCATAATGGTATGTGCTAAACCTCACAGGAGCTGGATAAATCTAACCCAAGGAAGTAAGATACCTCCAGTTAAGAATCCTACTACCTAGATCAGGTATTGAAAAGATAGTGACTGTGAACGAGAGGACTGAGTTACTGCCCTAGTTCTATCTCTAGCTATGTGAGCTCTCTGGCCCACCTGTCATTGTAAATCAGAACTTGCTGACTTATTTTTTTCCAAAAT